AAGGCCTGTTTGTCGGGCCACCCTCGGGTGTGAGTGGGACTTTATTCTGTGTGTCTGTCCCTCAGGAGAGAGAGTCCTCCCTTAAAAAGCTATGCATTTGTCTCTTTGAGGGCAGGTGTGTGTCTATCATTCCTGGGGAAGGAGTCTATGTGATCATCCTGGCAGAGGGCCAGTTCATCGCTCTGATTAGGGTTGGGGTCTGTGTCTCTTCCTGGGGACTGTTTCTCTGGCCCTGGTTTCATGCTACATGTGGGCCCTCTATCTTTACGGTGTTCCAGCTCCCCGACACACTGGGAAAGGATCCAGGTTTCCTGCTTGGTTACCCCAAGACTGGTCTCCTGGGTGGGGGCCCCAAGCTGGATAAGCAGGGCCAGTCAGCACCAGGTCTGCCTGGCTTGCAGTTGGGCACCGTTCCCTGCTAACACAGCATGTACCAACCAGAACTGCCCCCCCCCAACACCCTCCCTTAACTGGCTCAGCTGCCACCCACAACCCCCACAGCCACAGGGAGCCTGATTTATGTCCTGAGTGGAGGCTAGATATTACCAGTGTCTGGGTCAGTCCTTGAAGAGACCTCAAGTGGCCCCCTAGGCTGCCAGGTTCAGGGTCCAGCAGGACAAGAGGGGAGCCAGAGTGGTGAGGAAGACAAGGTAGCAAGAGCTCGGGGAGGCCGGCACAAGGCAGAGGCCAAGGCCAAGGGCTCCTGGAGCCCCTGGAAGGCAGGACCAGCCTGAAGTCCAGCTGGGGAGCCTGTCTCAGAAGGGGCAGTAAAGAAGCTTTTTCTTTCATGTGGCTCTGAAGTTTAAATTCCTGCTAGGCCTTACCAGACTGTTCCCAAACCTAGAGCTATGGAAGGGCATGGGCAGGAGCCCGAGAGCCTATGTCTAGCGTAGAGCTAGAGGTCGCCTGAAGCTGAACCCAGGTTTATAGACGAGAGAAGAGCCCGTTAGCTGAGCTCTGGGGCAATAGGAACAAGCCTGGTCACAACTGGAAACCAAGTAGGTAGACTTCACCTGTCCTCTCACGCTCTGAAGAAGCCATTGGTCTTGCGCTCCTCCATGTCAAACTTGTCGGGGAGGGACCAGGCTCACTCAGATCCGGAAGCTAAAGACCTCTAGAATCCTTGGCTCAACTCTCCTATGAAGCCATGAACCACCACCCTTGGCCAGGACACAACACTGACCTGTCTCAATCGCCTGTCCACTGTCCAGGACCACAAAGCGGCCTCCCACCTCACAAGCCCTCTCATGCTTCCCTGTTCGTTACTGGGTCATGAAGCAGAGCATGCTGGGTAAGAGCGGTCCCTGTAGACAGTACACCTCAACAACAGCAAACAACTTTCATCTCAAGGCTGATCGCCACCACTGTCTCCAAAATGGAGACTGGGTAGCCCGACGTGAGGCAATCCTCATGGACCCCAGATCTACAGGGAAAATGGACTGCTGCTGTGCCCACCTCAGTCACCTCAGGGCTGGGGAGGGGACTAGGGCCTCTGGGCACTAGGCCCAGCGTGGGTCGGGGGCAGCAGGGAGGCAGGTTTCCTGGGTCTCCCATGAGGACAAACAGCAAGCTTTGAGGCCTTGGAAAATCCCGCCCGGGATTCCAGGCCCTGCCAGCGTCACTGCCTTTTGACTATTGTCCCCATCGGAAACGGGCCCAGCCCCCGGCCAGCAAGGACAGAGCCGCCATTGTGAGGCCCCATTAGGCTCAATGCCCCCTTGTTCGCCCTCTCAGCCCCTAGCAAGACTTGGAGGCCAGTTCTTCCAGTTGCTGGTGGAAAGAAAGAGGCTGCCTCCAGGCTCCAGCCTTCGGGTGGGGCAGGGCAGGAGTAGCAGATCAGCCCCCACCCTGTGCCCCAAGTGCCAGAGTCTTGGAAAGGAGCTGCTGTCAGTCGAGAGTCTTTTATTCGCAAAGCACAGGCTGGGCAGCCCAGTGGTCAAGAAACTGCACACACCCAGTACAGCCACTTACAAACCCTGGGGAAGTCATTTCTTTCCTTGGAAGAGGTTTAGCATCTTTCATAAAACACACCTGCTGATGTTTATCTAGGTACAGGCCTATAATCCCAGCGCTCAGGGCGCTGAGGCAGGAGAATTGTTGTGAGAATTCAAAGTCAGCCTGAGCTACACTGTGAAACTGTCTCAAACCAAACAGAAAAGCAAGTCATGGTGGCTCCTGACTGTAAGGTAGAGGAGGCCGAAGGATCGGGTTCTCAATTGTCTTCATCTGCCGGGAGGTCAAAATACAGCTACTGCAGCTCAACAGGCTAGCTTAAAGTCCTGTGAAGACCGAGACTCGCCTTGGCTCCACCCATAAAGCGCATGAAAGTACGGCTCCTTCTGCCTTTCTCAGGCACTATCCTGTCTTTACATTTATTGGTACTAAAGGCACACAGAAAATGAGACGGAGCTAGTCTGGCCGTCAGCTGCTACCATTCTGCTCCCAGCCAGGGTCATTGAAGAAATGAGGAAACTGAGGCTGGGTGAAGAAGTGACTGGGGTGCTGTTGGAGCTCACTCGGGACTAGTGCCCCAGAGTCCATGTTTGCAAGTCCACAGCACCACGGGGGAACCCACCATGCAAGACATGGTCTTCCCATGGACCTTTTTTAGGCCTGAGGCTGAAATGTATTCCCAGATCTCAAGTAAGAGTGCATGGCCAGAGTTCCTTAGGGAATCACGTGGAGTTCGAGCCTGGAAGGAGGTCTCACTTCTTTCCGAATCTCGAGTAGATGGTTTTGCCCTGTCTAACCCAATTTTCAGCATCAAGAGGCCATGGAGATGTTGCCTTGGGTCTTGGGTCAGGCAGGGGTAGTGAGGAACGGCTGTGTCCTGAGCATCCTGCCTTCAGGGCTCCTGTGAGATTCTGGAAATAAATCAATGCTAACTAAACACAATGAAGGTGGTCAGGCCCTGCCTCTTGCCGGCCTGCCACAGGCCTATGGTTGCTGTCAGTTTAGATTCATGGTTTTCTAGATACCGTCTCCACTTCTCCTCAGGTTCTGGTTATCAAACACAGGGCCTCCCACATTCGGAGCTAACATTGCTTCACCGAGCTACATTTGCAGCACCGGCACCTGCTTCCTAGCCGGCTACCTGAGCTGCTGAGCAGTGAGAGGGCTGGAGAACATTTTGAGGACATGGGCACAGGTGTCACTTAAGTTCCTGCCAAACGCTGGGTGGTAGTGGCGCACGCCTTTAATCCCAGCACTTGGGAGGCAGAGGCAGGTGAATCCCTGTGAGTCTGAGGCCAGCCTGGTCCACAAGAGCTAGTTCCAGGACAGCTAGGACTGTTACACAGGGAAACCCTATCTCTAAAAAACCGAAAAAATAAATAAATAAAGTTCCTGCCAGGAATCCAAGCACTGCCCACTGCATGGAGCCTGCTGCTGGGACTCGCAGAGGGAACATGGAGGATGGAGATTAAATTAAATTTACATTAAGAACAGCTGCCACTGTTCCTAGGCTCAGGAACACACATCAACACATGCCTCTGACCCAGAAAGCACTATGAGGATAGGCCTGGTACTCTTTCTGTTTTTACAAATGTACAAACCAAGAAATCAGCGGCCTGGAGATACAACTTAATGGTAGAGTGTTGCCGAGTGTATATGAGGCCAACAGCATCACCGCCTTCCGCCACCTCCAAATTTAAAAGTTCTGACTCAGGTGGTTCAAAGCACCACAGGGGCTGGAGAGATGGCTCAATGGTTAAGAGCACTGGCTGCTCTTCCAGAGGCCCTGGGTTCAATTCCCAGCACCTACATGGCAGCTCACAGCTATCTGTAACTTCAATTTCAGGGGACCTGACACCCTCACAAGGATATGCATGCAAATGCAAGGATATGCAAAACACCAGTGCTCATAAAATAAGTTTAAAAAAACTAAAGTAAAATATTAAAAAAAAAAAACAACTTACCTTCAAACTGGGACTCACATGGTAAAAGAGACCCAACTCCTCCAAGTTGTTTTCTGACTTCCATACACATGCTATGGTAAATAGGTACACATACACACATACATAGACATGCATGCTCATGTGCGTGCACACACAGCAATGTTTTTCTAAAAAATATTTATTTATTATGTATACAATATTCTGTGTGTATGCCTGCAGGCCAGAAGAGGGCACCAGACCCCATTACAGATGGTTGTGAGCCACCATGTGGTTGCTGGGAATTGAACTCAGGACCTTTGGAAGAGCAGGTAACACTTTTAATCTCCGAGCCATCTCTCCAGCCCCCCACAGAAATGTTTTTTTCTATACAGGGTTTCTCCATTTAGCCTTGGCTGTTCTGCAACTCGTCTATGGACCCACAGAGATCCACCTGCCTCTGCCTCCCTAGTGCTGGGATTAAAGGTGTGCACCACCACCACCACCTAGCTAAAACCATGAGCTTTTTTTCCTTTTCTTTTCTTTTTGTTTGTTTGTTTTTGTTTTTCGAGACAGGGTTTCTCTGTAGCTTTGGAGCCTGTACTGGAACTCACTCTGTAGAACAGGCTGGCCTTGAACTCACAGATCCACCTGCCTCTGCCTCCCGAGTGCTAGGATAAAAGGCATGCACCACCACCACCATCCAGCTTTTTTCTTTTTTAATCAATAAATATTTTAAAAAATACTTTAGCCACCATGGGCCCATCAGCCAGCAGGCTTCCCACATTAGAAACTAGCTCCACATGGAAGCACAGGGTGCACATGTATAGTCAGGTGCTACTCAGGAAGAGGAAGTAGGAGTACCATCAGCGTGAAGCCAGCTGAGCTACACAGCAAGTCTACACCATATGTGCTGCACAGACAGACGTGTGCTTGCGTCAGAGAGGAAAGCTAGTTCCAGAGTTTCGCTTAATGACTACGTGAAGCGGGCTTCATCGTGACCTGCCACCTACAAGGGAGCAGCTGAGGCTCACCAGCTCGTTGGCGACAGCTAAGATGTGCCCGGTGCCATTGCCATCTCTTATGTAAGTGCAGTGACTGTGCCGTGACATCAGAGAAAGGACTCAATTTCAGTTACATGTCTATTTTTTTATTCAATATATTAAATATATTAATCAGAAAAGTCACATCCTATAAATCCAGGAAAAATACACAAATATAAATCAGAATCTGCCATTCACCTTGAGTGACAGCTATGTACATGTGGAAGGAAAGTAGAAGAGATCTCAAGGTGGAGGCTGAAAGGCTTGCCCAGGCTGGTGAGGGCCCCATCCCTTCCTCCCAATCCCCACCTCACCTCTTCCTTTCTGTATTTACAGCAACGTCAGCTCATTTACAGCAGAGTGGCACGTGTTAAAAATGTGTATCTTACAAAAGAACCACGAAGGCCAGGACTGAGCTACAGGGATAAGACAAATAGTGGGGTCACCCCCATGAATACACACCCTCCCCCAGATCTTGAGCGCCCTGTACATCTTCTGGAGTGAGGAGGCAAGTCGGTCTTAGCTCAAAACCAGGCTGGGAGCGGGGTGTTTTGGGGATCCGTGGACTTAAAGGCACATGGGTGACATGAGAGAGCACACACATGTGTGCACACGTTCGGGTAGGGATCAGAAAGACAACGTGTCCATAAAGATCTTGTCCACAATAGGTGGAGGGGGCACCAAGTCCTCCAGCTTGAGGTATAAGATGCGCTGCCGGCCTTGGGTGCACAGGGTCCGAAGCTCAGGCAGTTTGCCCAGAAGACGAGACAGGCAGCTGGCTGGCTGTGGCTCTCCCAACACAGTAGCCATGTGCTCCTTCAGGCAGCTGACAATGCAATTCTGCATCTCCTCCACGCGCCGAGGATCCTGTAGCCCGTGTCGGTCTGCAGCAGGGAATGCAGGGTAAGCCACTCAGTGGACCCCCCTCCCCACAAACTCGCCCAGCTCCCCTAGCATGTGCCACAAGAACCCATTCCCCTGACTGGTTAGCATCTAAAACCATTGTTTCCAACATCCCAAGAGAGAATGAGGCCCAGACAGCTTGGAATCAAACTAAAACCCTAATCCAGGTTTTCTAGGGTACAATTCTACATAGTTCTAAGAAAGCCGAGCTTCACAGGAGTGACTTAGGGCTGCCATCAAGGAGAGCCAAGTATAGGCCTCATTACCCCTTCAAGCCCCAGCTCTTTTGATTTTGTTCTATTCAGAGAGGTCCTCTAAGAAATTTACGTGCAAAAGGAGGTAGAAGAAGAGACCAGGAACCTCTACATGTGTCACCACTGTGATACATATACCAGTACCCACAACACACACAGCCATTGTAGCTACGGAGCCCTTCCACCGTGATATACATATACCAATAGCCACAACACACAACCATTGTGGCTGGTGGAGTGGCTGCCTCTTACAGAGACGAGAAAGGGAGGGAGCCTAACAAAGCTGAGGCTGCTTCTCTATTTCTGGACCACAGTGCTGGCTATCCAAGTGCAGCGTGTGAGAACTTCACGCATGCACTTTTCTATGTGCTGTAAGATTGATTGACAGGGAGACTTCAAAACTAACTGAAACCCTACACCAGATACCCAGCATCTAAGGCTGTATCTCGGGGAGTCTGGGGTCATTCGAAGGTTGATGTGAGCTTTAGAGACAGACACAGCTGAGTCCCTCTTCGGGTCCTGGCATCCCAAATGCTGCAGGCACTCTGGAGGTCCCAGAGTGCTAGATGCCACCTACCCAATAGACCTGCAACCCTTGGGCTCAGTCTGGTGCTTGCTACTCACCAGTGATAAGGACCAGAGCAGACAGGCAGGCAAAGGCAGGGACATCAACAGCCAAGCTATGCAGGGACCGTGAGAAGGCTAGGATGCTGTCAATCCAGGTGCCAAAGCCTCGGGCACACTGCAGCCGGTGTAGCACCAGGCCTGAGCAAAAGACGAGCTTCCCTTCACCAGGCTTAGATCTGGCAGGAGGTAGATGACAGTCAGGTCTCGGGTGCGGACAGGCTGGGGCAGCAGGGCTAGGACCAGGAGGATGGAGGGTGGGCAGCTCACCGGTAAGCCAGGCGGAGAACGAAGAGTTCCAGGAAGGCTGACTCCAGCAGCAGATCTTGGTCTCCAGAGGAAAGCTGGGCAAAGCCAGGGATCTTCTCTGCCCATTTTCGGGTAACTTCCAGGGAACCCGTGAGCAAGTCATAAAACTGCTGCACATCGCCTGCATCTTCCTTCCCGAAGCGGGGCAGCACCAGCTCCTGGAACTGAGAGGGGCCGCGAGGAGGTAAGCACCACCCGCTGCTACACACACCACACCGCTGTGGCTGTGTCCCCCTGGGACACCAGATCCAGGAATGCAAATGAGCCCTACACTGGCCCATGTGCTCGGCAATCCCCACAGGGAAACCCAGGGCTACAGCAGTTGTTTGTAACCGATTCCCCGACTCCAAGTCCACCCCAGGGCATGTCTCCAGCTGGTCAATGCCAAGGGGGTTCCCCATTTTCTAATGTTGTCCTGGAAAGAGAAGCTTCCCTAACATGCACAAAGACACTGCAGCATATGTTCCCAGAAGCAGGGTGGGTGGGCGGGACCTCACCTTGGAATAATCCAACTTGGCAGTGCTAGGCCCAGAGTCCAAATGTGCCCGGATGAGAGAAGTAAGGAGATTGGTAGGAGGGGCGTCCGGGGGTTGTTTGGGTTTGGAAGGCAGCCGGCCACGCCGCCCCTTTAGGCTGTCTGTCCGGACAACTGCAGAGAAACAGGCACTAATGAAGTAGGAAATGAAGGAATCTGGAGAAGGAGTGTTCAGCCCACACTATACACACCACTTCTGAGAAGTCAAAAATGGAGAACTCAGGCCCACCCCACCCTTGCCAGCAAGGCAGGTGGAAGCTGCCGTCTGCTTTTAGGGGCTGGCGTCTAGAGGTGGGAGCTGGGATCAGGTGTGGATGCCTGGTAACCCTGGCTGCCCCCCACCCTATCGGGTCACTTATGCCAAGGGCCCCATCTAACCACCCACCTTCCTTCACCATGCCCACAGCCAGGCACTTCTGGAAGCGACAGAACTGGCAGCGGTTCCGCCGCCTCTTGTCCACAGGGCAGTCCTTGTTTGCCAGGCAGATGTACTTGGCACTTTTCTGCACTGTACGCTGGAGGGGGGGCAACACGGAACAGGCTGTCAGAGCATGGGGGGGGGGAGGCCTAGGGGAGGGGACCGTTCCGATCCTGCTGCCGACGCAGACAAAAGCACCCTCTGTTCATAGCTATTTTCCTAACATTTGGGTGCAGGGGAGGGAGAAATGGAGGTCCAGAGGGGGGAGAGAAGTCTGGGACACATTGGGGGAGGATTCTGCCTCAAAAGAAAGATCCCAGAACCCAAGACTATGCTAGGGACTCCTAAGGCTGTCCAGACACCCGTTCTGAACAGGTGTCTGCCTGTGTCCACCTGCCCTTTCCTGGGACAAGGAAGAGAGTGCTAAGGGGATGGGGGTGGAGAAGGGAAGCCAAGCGGGCACCCAGCACTGGGACAAACACACAGCCTGTTCCTAAGTCCACCCCCAGCCTGCAAGAACCAAACCCTCTGCCTGGACTCTTTCATCCAGTGCCAGGAACACAAGAGCCTGTGGCCCCCTTGTTACCAGGGTGAGGGTGGGGGCAGAGCAGAACCAGAGGCTGCCCACGAGATTTTCTTTTCCTGACCACCACTGCAGGCCACACCTTCTGCCCCCTTCCTTAGCTTTCTGCAGACCTACAGATCTGTGGGCCCTTGTGAAGGAAGGGTCCCAGGTCTGAAATTGGTGGGTCCCTGGGAAAATGATACAACTGTCCCCGATTCCTGCAGAACAGAACCAGCTGTGAAGGCTATTTCAGATCTCAATGTGATGGCCCACTCCACTCCCACTTCCAACAAGTTGTAGGCACCCCAAAATGGCAAAATACCTTGAAGAAACCCTTGCAGCCCTCACAGGTGCGGACCCCGTAATGCTGGCAGGAAGCGTTGTCCCCACAAACAGCACAGCGGCCTTCACTGCCACCTGAAGCCCCACTCCGGGCCTTGGTGGAAGTCACAGGTGCATCCAGAATCCCGGAAGTGTCAAGGTTCGGAGAAGTGGGTGACAAGCCAGGGAAAGCCGCTGGCATGGAATAGCTCTCTCCCTTCCCAAGCTGGTGGGTGGATGGAGGCGAGAAGAGCTTGAGAGAACTCTGGGCCAGGCTGGGGCTGGGACCCGTTGGGGGACTGAAGGAGAAGAAGGTTGGAGGTGGTGGAGGCCCAGAAGCCTTAGGCAACTGCTCTGTCCACGCCCGAAGGCCTTCATAAGTCTGGCTGGGGGAGAAGTGGCCAAATGAGCCATCCCAGGGAGAGAGCTGGGGTGGTTGGAAGCTGGGTGTAGATGGCGAGGGGGCTGAGCAGGGACTGCCATAGTAATCGGAGCCGCTGGAGGACAGGGTCTCATCTAATGGGCCACTCAGGGTGCCGGGGTAACAGCCATACACCTGGAAGTCCTCGAACTTGAAGGAAGCAGAGGCGGGAGAGGTGGCTGAGGATGAGGAAGAAGACGTGGAGGAAGCTGACGAAGAAGCTGAGGAGCATGGCTGGGTTGTCCCCGGCAGCTGGTACAGGAAGGTGTCAAACTCTCCAGCGTACCCGTCCATGAAGGTGCTGAAGCTGGGCAGGGTAGTGGGTGCAGTGGGCGCTGCCTCAGGGCTGGCCAGGTCCATGGTAGGCTTGCTGAACTCAAGGGCCAGGGGGTCACTCGTCAGGTAGTCACGCGGTCCTGGGCTTGTTGCTGGTGTTCCATATTGGGCCTGGATACAGGGCATCTCTGGAGGAGGAGACCCACGGAGGAAGGGGAGGAGCCAGTAAGAAGAAGCAAAAAGCTGGATAGACCCCAAGGCAGCCAGGTGGCAGGACCACGGAATCCAGGAATCCTCATCTCCCCCCTCCCCCGACACTATCTCACTATGAGCCACAAAGCTCATGGCCAGAGACCCAGGGAGCACAGTCGGAAGGCCAGCCACATCCCAGTGGGCCTGGGAACCCTACGGAAAGCACCTAACCAGCACCTCCCTGCAGGAACAGGGGGAAGCTGTGTAGCTCCAACTCTCAGCCTCCTATTCAGGGTGGGGGCTGGGAGAGGCAACCCACAGAGCTCCATGCCCCCAGGAGCAGATCTGCTGGTTTTTCAACCAGGTACTTCCTGGGAATACATTCCCAGGCACACCCCAGACTCTGCATACCCCCTCCTCACTCCCCACCCCCTCCGCCCAATGTCTGCCTCCAGACATGCAGGAAATGGAGGAGAAGCTGTGGGCCATGGTGCAACTGTCTACCACAGTGGTTTTAGGAGCAAGGCAACGCCAGATCCCTGCCCCGCCTCAGCCCTGTGTGCCGATCCCACAGACACTGGGTCCTACTATTTGGGACTGTGCCCCAACTCTGTACTTTCTGGATGTTTCCAGGCGTCGGAAGAATTATTGGGTAACACAGCTACAGACGTTTAAATACCACACACTGGGGGCTGGAGAAATGGCTCAAGTGTTTAAGGGCAGGCATTGCTCTTCCAGAGGACCCAAGTTCAAGTACCAGTACCCACATCAGGCGGCTCACAACCATCTGCAACTCCAGCTCCAGAGCATCTGATGCCTCTACCCTTGTAGGATTCGTGTGTGCACACGTGTGCACATGTGTACACACACACACACACACACACACACATTTAAGATAATTTTTACTATCTTAAAAATAATTAAGAATAAAGTCTTAAATACCATATACTGAAGGGAGGTGAGGGACTGAGCAGGTAGACCCAGAAAGGAACCTCTGGACACACAGGAGAAAGGATCACCCTCAAAAGGAATTTCTCAGCTAACCGAGTCGTTTTTATAAGAGGACACTCAGAGTCCAGCAGGAGCTACAAGCTTGGTAGCAGAGTGCAGGGGCCTATTGGTAGGTACATGAAGACAACCTATCCCTGCCTATGTTCCTCTGCTAAAGCAGATGTCTGTTTCTTATAGCATTCAGGGGCTTGGCAAAGTCACACTCTCCCTCCCCAAAGTGAGCACCTGAAAGATCAGAGATAGAAATGTTTCCGCCTGGTGAGAAATACTGCAGAGGCAGCTCCAGGACCTCGTGTCCTTTCCAAACTCCAAGTCTGGAGTCTGGAACAGTCCTAGCCTTCCTAGCTGAAACGGCAAGCCACACAGGAACTCAAGCTGGCACAGGAGATGGGGTGGTAACAGGGCAAAGACTATCACCGCTTGCTGTCCAGAAGCTCTTGAAGCCCTCTGGTCCAGTATTTCTTCCATGACCACCCCACCCCTAGTTGCCTGGACAGGGCAGTTCCACCCTTGGCCTGACATGCAACCACCCAAACAATAGTACCCCCAAGTTCCAGCCCTGTCTGCCCTGTGGCGTTTCCCTCAGGCATACAGCACCTGTGAGAAATAAACATGGCCACTTCTGCCTCTGCTTGTGAGCAGAAGCCTAGGCAGGGATGGACTGGGGGTGGAGGAAGAAGAGTGGCAGCCAGTCAGGACTGGGTATTTGTTCCAGCCTCATTCAAATCCTGTTTCTCCACTTGGACATCCTACATCCGGATCAACCCCCACCAATCTACCCTGCTTCAGGCATACAGTCTGCAACGCACACAAGATAGAGACCTGTATCTAGCCTCCTGGTGTGTGGGGGGGTAGTCCCAAGGGGAGGAGGAGGAAGAGGCGGGGTTGAAGGAGGGAGTGGGAGAATCCGGCTTAGGGCAGGTTCTGGCAACACGGTGTCTTGCACCTGTTAGGTGAACAAGCCTCAGGCTGCACGCTACTTAACAGATTCAACAGGGACTATTGGGGTGATCTGCAAGCCAATGTGGACTGACAAGAGGGTTATCCCCTAGTCAGTATCACACTAAGACTCCAGCGTAAGTAACTTCCACCCAGTCTCCACGTGCCCCTTCCCCCACCTCCGACTGCTCCAGGGTAGGGCTAAAACATCCTTCCTATGTTTCTAGACACCCTGACCCTGTCAACTTAGTCCAACACAGCAATTACCCCCGCCAATCTAGCTAGCCATTTCCTTCAGCAATCCTCAGGTCTTCCTGCGCCGATCAGACAGAAAGTTCGGTAGGGGAAATCTGAAATTTTACAGCCTATAAAGTGTTAAGTAAACAACTGTGAAGGGGGCTAACAGCCTAGGAGGGAGACGCGAGGAAATCCAATCCTATACGGAATTGGATGGATCCCTGCAGCGCGGAAGCTCTACTGTATATCTTCTCCACGCAAGATGCTCGGACCCCCCCCCCCCCACAATCAGCACCCAAACACAGAGGACTGTGTGCATCTTTGGGCGCCCTGGGGAAAACCAAACCAAGGCAAAAAACAACCGCTGGACAAGCCTCCACTACCTACCTGCGCCAACCACCTTGCAGACCCTTTACCCAGTCCCCAAACCTCAAGCCCGAGCTCACTCTATTCCACAGATGCACTTTACACACCCATCCTCGCAAGCCGACTTGAAGACATCCTTTCCGCCCGCGCGTACACCCATCTCTTTCGTGCACCACCCATAGAAACAGACGTACACTCCCCGCGGGATACTTACCCGACTGACTGCTGTTCCCCCTGGCCGGGACCAGCGACCCAGTCGCAGCCCGGTCCCGCGTGCGCTCCGCAGTCCTTCTCGCACACTCCCCCAACTTTCACCGCCTCCTGCACTGGGGCTCCCCTGGCGAGCCCGACCCTCCTCTTAAGCGCTCCGTGACGCATGGGGAGGGGCGGGGGCGCCACTGACGCACGCGGCCCGGCGAGCTTTGGCCATACAAGGGCGCGGGGGGCGGCGCGGTTCCGGCGGGAGGCGGCCAGGAGGAGGCGCAGGGACGGGGAGCCCGAGGGGGCGGGGCGAAGAGGGGGGGCCTGGAATGTCTGTGCGCGTGACGCACGCGGGGTTCCATTGACGCAGGGAGTGCGGATTGTTTGATCTATAAATAGTTTTCCTCTCGCCCGTCGCGCAGGCTAAATATAGCAGCTTCCATACCTGCTAGGCTCCCCAAGCCGGACCCGGGATCGGGTCCCGGGGTCCGAAATAACCGACCGGGAGGAGGGGGTGTTGTAGAGCCGCACCCGCAGGGCTTCCCCGAGCAGGATCTCCTCCCCTCCAGCTGCTCCCAGTGCCTACCGCGCTCGCTCCCTCCTGCCCACTCCTACCCCGGACTTTGCTCCGCCTTTGCCCCTTTCCCAGCCTGTCCTGGGCACCTAGGGTGTCACTCTGCCACTGCCGGCAGCCAGAGTAGTCAAGAGCAGAGGCAAGCAACTCTGGGACACACCCAGGAGATGGGAAGGTGGGCTGTGCCCCTGCCTCAGCGTTGCTGCAATGCTATGCACTTGACGCGTCTTGCCCAGCAAGGTCTCTGGCCCCAGGGATGGCAACTAGAACCCTAGCCTTGCTCCTGGCGAAGGACGATCTGGCTTTCAAAGTTTCTTCCCAAAGGGCATGGCTTTGTCCTAGCCCAACAGATTCTGCGACGGACTGATGGTAGTTTCTCACCAGGGGCCTCCCTAACTAACCCTTCGCAAGATGGATGCACCCTAGTTGAGAAATTGCCGAATTTCAGAACCGGGTGGAGCCTGAGAAATCTCCAAACCCATGCCAACTCTTCCCCATTTTATAAATAGACCCAGAAACATAATGACATTTGCTCAAGGTCACTCAGCTAGGTGGTGGCACACTGGAGCTGAACCCATGGCCATCTCCAAGGGGCTCTTTTCACGCCCTCATGCCAATTCCCTCAGCAGGGAAGAGAGCGGCTCTAACTAGTTACCACTGGCAGTGCCGAGCCTTCCAGGACTTTACTCACATGCAGACCAGGCTGCAGCCACCTGGAGCCTATTTCTCTGTTCAGCTATCACCTTCCCCATGTGCCCAGTACAGCTCAAGCTTGGGGAGTGCTCATTTGCTAGTAATGTAAGAAAAAGGAGTCTGGAGAGATGGCTCAGAGGTTTAGAGCATATCCTACAACTTTCCCAAACTGGAATTCTTTGAAATATCTGTCTGTCCCTACACCCTCATTTCTGCTGCCAACCACAACCAAGGCCAGGCCACTGGTACAGCAGCCTTAACTGGGAATACCCAGCGACCTCCCTTTCTGGCCATACCTCCTTTAAAAAGGAAGGAAGGAAGGAAGGAAGGAAGGAAGGAAGGAAGGAAGGAAGGAAGGAAGGAAGGAAGGAAGGAAGGAA